CCCCTACCTCTGTCCCTCGGTGTCGCCCAGCGCATCCCGGCCGTAGCGAAGCGCCCCCCAGCTCCGCCTCCCGCCGGCCACTGAGCCGCGCCTCACGTGGGCAAGCCGCTGCGCACTGCGCCGGCGCAGCCTGACGACCTCACTCTGCCGCGACGGGACCCGAAGGGCGGGAAGCGTTGGCGCACACGAGCCGTTCCGCTAGTGCGCATGCGTTCGACGAAAGGGCCCAGTCCTTCAGCGCACATGCGTCATGTGTGCCAAAGCCGTCTCCTCCCTCTCTCCTCCCCCCCCCCACGGTACAGCGCCCCCTGCCGGAAAGCCTGGGCACTGCAAGATGCCTTTCCCACGCCAGAGACCAGTGCTACAGATTTAAAGGGACAGTCGCAATTAAATCCATCTCTGTTTCAAAGGAGCGGTGTGTCCTTCCCACCCTCCATACCCCTGAGGTCATTACCACTGCCGCCCACTCATCTCCCAGTGCTTCCTAGGAAGCACTCCCATTCTTGCATGTCTGCTTGCAGGACATTCATCACAGGATCCCCCAGTCCAGTGGCAATTTTCTGCACCCTTCTCCACCCCCAGCTGGGACCCGTTCTCACCAGCGAGCCTGCCAGCGCTCGGGATGGTTATTTTAGAGGAAATCGTCTGCAAGTGTTTCTAATAATAAGCTTGGCCAGCTCCCTAGCCACCTCCACAGATGCTCATGGTGGGCCCTTGGCTGCAAAACAAGGCCACTCCAAACTTCTGAGGAATAGATCCAGAATCTGACTGTTGAGTCTTTCACAGGAGGGTGTGTGTGGGGGGGAGAGGGGTGTACTGCCCACCCCTATTATATGCGATCATATAACGAGTGAAACCCACTCTTACCTGCACATACAAAAATGCAGGGCTTCTCACTTAGCTGTTCAGAAGGAATTTACATGCACCTTCATGGGTCTGTTTAGTCTGCAGAAGAGAAGAGTGAGGGGGGATTTGATAGCGGCTTTCAACTTTCTGAAGGGAGGTTCCAAAGAGGCTGGAGAAAGGCTGTTCTCAGTAGTGACAGATGGCAGAACAAGGAGCAATGGTCTCAAGTTGTAGTGGGAGAGGGCCAGGTTGGATATTAGGAAAAACTATTTCACTAGATCAAAATCTGTGACATCTAGATCATTTTGATCTGAGGAAGTGGGTCGGGCCCACGAAAGCTCATCATCTAATAAACCATCTTGTTAGTCTTTAAAGTGCTACATAGTCCTGTATTTTGCTTCAGCTACACCAGACTAACACAGCTACATTTCTATCACTAAATCAGAGAAATGCATTCTTCTCTTGCAGCCAAAACTCGCTATGTACATAATACGTCGTATTGCCAAATGTTGTTCTCCATTTCACGGGCAGGGAAACAAGACACAGTGAGGTTAAGACACCTGCTGAAGATCACAGAGGGAGGGATAAATCCAGGGCCATCCTTACCCACACAGAGAACATGTAGTTGTGTTGGGCACTTGAAAAGTTGGGGCTCCACTTAAATCTTAACATCTACTGGAGCAACCCAGCAGCACCCCAGCTGCTCTGCCCCAGGCGTCCCCAAGTCAGCCGCTGCTGAAACTGACCAGCGCTGACTACAGGAAGCCCGAGGCAGAGTTGCTCTGCCCCAGGCTTCCTGGAATCAGCGCTGATCAGTTTCAGCAGCAGCTGACTTAGGGACGCTTGGGGTTCTTAAGTTGAATCTGTATGTAAGTCAGAACTGGCGGTCAGTTTCAGCAGCAGCTGAATCTGGATGCCAGTTCCCACTTACATACAGATTCAACTTAAGAACAAACCTACAGTCCCTATCTTGTACGTAACCCGGGGACTGCCTGTATAGCAGAGAATATTACTGGGGGGGATCAGCCAGCCCACATGGACTTTGCATTTGCTGTGTGTTATGGAGCAGGAGGTGAATATTTTGAGATTATACAGTATCTACAGCAGTGTAGGTGTTCCTCTGGGTATTGAAACTGGTGTGGGAAATACTGTAACAAAGAAACACAGCAAAGGAACATTGTGACATAATGGAGTGATGCTGCAACCTAAACAGCAGGTTCAGCGCCTGACTGAGGCTTGTTGCTTTTTTGCTATTCTAACTAGGCAAAGTGGAAATTGTGCAGAACGGCACTCTCTCCCTAAGCACTGGGCAACCCTTCGCAACCATTTGCTCTTCTGTCTGGTAAATCCAGCGCTGGAATGGTTAAGCGATCAACACAGTGGTTTGCACAATCCTCGGGCCTTCATGAATCCTCCATTAAACAGCAACACCAGAAAGGAAGGTGGGCTGCACAGAGTTCAGAGAGCACAGGTGAGACAGGACTTTAACTCATAGCGAATGAAAAGCGGAATCTTTATCTCGCTGCTTGACACAGACAGACCCTGCAATTCTCCCTGGCTCTCTACCTCAGTGCAACACAAGCTTGGCTTCTAAACCCTGGTTCGGTCTAAGCACTCATTAGTATTACCAACCCACCCTCTGAGCCTTTAGGGTGAACTCAGGTCATGTTTTCAGGCTTTTTTTCTGCATTCATCACGGATGGAAGGAAGGAAGGAAGGAAGGAAGGAAGGAAGGAAGGAAGAAAGAAAGAAAGAAAGAAAGAAACCACCCAACGAACCAGCTTCTCATATAATCATAGGACAGCAGGCCACAGGGCTTTAGGAAACTCACCAAACATCAAGAGACTTGGTGACACTGAGTCATGGAAAGAAATACTGACTATGCTCCTGGCAGCCTTTGTGAGTTCAAACTTGCAGCCTTCATGTGGTTATGAGAATAGGCTTTATTGCATTTAACATACGCTGGATTCAGTTCCTTCTGGATTAAAAGGGCTTTAACTCGATGTACATGCAATACCCTACCCTATGGATCATCAGTGAGAGCAGAACCACGCAGTATGACATCTTCTGCACTGTATGTGCGAGGTCATACATAGGGTTGCCAGGTGTCCAGTATTCACCCGGACAGTCTGGTATTTTCGGCTCCTGTCCAGTAAAAAAATTCAGAGAATACTGGACACCTAAAATGTCCGGTATTTTCTGAATTTTTCCTCGGCCAGGAGGCAAAAATGCCGGGCACCTGGCAACCCTACAAATACTCAGCACCTGGCCTTCTGCCCCCCCAAGAGCCTCTCTGGACCCCAACACCTCCAGCCCCCATGCATACCAGGTTCCCCAAGGCTGCTGGCACAAAATGGCTGCCGGCCAAAAGACCTTAGTGCTCAACTGCTCCCCTGTTCCTATCCCTGCACTCACTCTTAAAGGGGACATGGTGTTTTATTTTAATTTTATTTTGGCTTAATAAGTCCTTCGAGTCTTTTTTTTTTCTTTTTTGCTCAACAACTTTGGTCTCCCCCCCGTTTTCCCCCTTCAACGGAATTTTTTCCCAGTGTTATTTTTTTTGAGGGGAGGGGGTCAGTATTTTTGTTTCAACCATCTGCAAACCCTAGTCACACAGGCTGAGTACCATTATTCAAAAAACAAAAACACAGGACAGCACCTCTGCTTACAATGCCCCTGACATATACAGGTTGCACCTCCCTAAACCGGGACTCTCTGGTCTGGCAACATGTTCCCAGGCCAGAGAACACCAGTGTCTGGGAGTCGGGCCTCAAGCAGGCTGGCAGCTGGGAGCTCGATGGAGTTGGCAGCAGCCTGGTAGGAGAGCCAGGGCTATGGCAGCCCAAGAGCCCAGGAGGAGAGCTGGGGATGGGACAGCAGCATCTTGGCTGGTGAGCCAGGGATGCAACAGTGTAGCAGCCCACCAGGGGAGTCAGGTCCATGGCATCGCAGCAGTCTGGCAGGAAGGCCGGGGAGCTGGGCCCTTGTAGCACAGCCATGCGGAAAGAGGGACAGGGCTGCGGCAGCATGGCAGGCACTCAAGCCTGGGCCAGTGGCAGGCAGCCTGGCTGGGGCTGGAAAATGAGCTAGCAGCAGGCTGGGGAGCCAGTTGCAGGGGACCTCCTCTGGCCTGGCAAATACCCTCGTGTGGGGCCCGTCAGGTCCTGAGGATGCTGGATCAGGGAAGAAAAGCCAGTTGCCCCGGCACTGTCTCGGCGGGGGCAGGGGAAGCAGAGGCACTACATCCCTAGTTCTCTCTCCATATCAAGTTGTTCAGGCTGACTAAGCAGTCTGGACCTTAGAGAGAAGACACCCAATTAACAGTGTGACCACATGGCGAGACACAGAACTGTGGACTTCCTGGGACAGTCTGGAGAGGAGTCCACTCTTGAAGTCATTTGCAAGTGGCATGGCTATGGATGTCTCTTATGAAAGGATAGGATATGTCTGTGCTGTGCTGTAGAGACAGGGAAAAAAAACAACCCTGTGACAGTCTTGAACCCAAGTTGTTGTGTAGATATTTCCTCTTGGACTGGAGCTCAGGCTGTGAAACTCAGTAAGGAGGGTGTGGGTCTGAGACCAGGATTCAGCCTGAATGGGAAAATATATACTGTTTTTAGCCCTGTAACACGAGTCCTGAGATCCTAAGTCATTTGGCCACTAGGTTTGGGGTGGCAGGGTTTGTCTATATAGATATGCTCTACTTACCTTGGGTTTAAGTATATTTCTTTGACCCTTCCTCTGCTTGGGAACTAGCTTAGAGTATTGGAAGAGAACCTAGCGTTCAGCCACTGCACCAGATTCGATGGGGGCGAAACCCAGGTAGTGGATCTTCATTATTGTATTATGCTGTTTCTTCCCATTTCTAGTAAGCCTGCAGGAGGAACTATCGTTTTCTTAATTACAATGTTTACAGAGGTTTCCGATGGGAGGCAAATCTGGTCAGAGCGAGGAAAGATGGTTCAGTTGTTAGATCACTGGCCTAAGCGTTGGGTGGTTGTGAGGATAAACACATTGAAGATTGTGAGGTGCTCAGGTACTATTGTAATGGGGGCCATATAAGATATGTAACAGAAAAATGTAGAAAAAGTCCAAGGGAAAACACTTCCTACTGTACCTTGCTGCATCTTTAAGTTTCAGAAATGATATTGGCTCGAGTTATACAACCTAGGATGATTGTGATCCACTGCCTTCTAGTTTACTGAAACATTTTTCATTACAACTATGTATCTATTTCAGAGATTAGTGTGTCTGTCTGTGAGTGTCTATTTGTGAGTTCATTTGTTCGATAACTCCTCCAAATCGTCA